ATTATTATTATTATTATTTTTTATTTTCTGCACAGCCACTGTTTGAGCCACACTCTGTATCTGTGTGTGTCTGCCTCCCCCTGCAGCTCAGCAAACGGGGAGGAGGGCATAGTGGAGAAGCTCGGCTTTCTTCAGATTTCTCTACATGTACTCCCTTCCTGTGCTCCCCTCTCAGATTCACCTTCATTCTTCACAATCGACTAGTATCCTCTTGTCGTTATTATTGTATTAAGGCAGCAGATGGAAGCAGTAATTCTCGGCCAGTTCGACTCATTATTTAAAGATGATTTTCTCGAAATACAAAAAAAAAAAAAAAGATGTGGATCTGTTTCCACAGGAGGGGGAAAAAAGTTACGGAGGTAATACAGTTGGGATTCTCTGATGTGTGACGTCGATTTTTCTGGAAGCTGGGGGGAAGGGAGAAAAGATGCCTGGCCGCTCTGCTAGCCAATCAGAGACTAGAAACGATGAGGAACAGGGAGGGAGAACGAAAGAGAGACGGCGTACAGGACGAAGGGAAGAAGGCACAGGAGGGAGGGTAAGTGATGAAGAGAATGGTGTGCGAGCGTGAAAGTCTCCACCCCCTCGTGTGCACCACTGTGAGCACCCATCTCACTGCCTGAAACCAGCTTGGCTCTAAATCCTCTTACATTTAGACCACTATTTATGTAGCGTGGCACACTACTTTGGTTTCTTCACTTCAAAGAGCTACACGAGTCGGCACATTAGGTAACAAATACTATTACGCTGAATAGATCGAACACCTTTTTTCCTGTTTTAATAATGAAAATGAGAGATTAATCTACAGAAAATAAATAAATGTTTGCAGCAGGTGTGAAACGTTAGAGCACGTGTCTCCCAAAGCAGCGCTCTGCAGAGAAAGTGAAATGGGGTAGAGAGAGATTTGAGTCACTCTCCGTGACAGCCTATTTGCAAACACACGGTCCTCAGCTGGGAGGTTGCACAGGAGAATTCCCAATTCATCAAAGATGCACATCAAACGTTGGCCTTGGGGCTGTGGGTGCTTCACGCAGAGGAAGACGTCTCATTTTCCACTTTTAAAGGGATCTTAATTTTTCTGAGAGAAAAGATGATAGCACACTTGCCAGAACATTTAAGGCCTGGTGGTTGGCGGGGAAGTTGTCTGGGGAGACATCAAAGAGCTGAAGGTATATGAAAGAAAGAAGAGGGTTGGAAGCAGAAGCAGCCTCCCAACGTAATGAGTAAAACTGTAAAACAGGTCACATGACCTTGGAGATTGATGGCACCCGCTGTGCATGAGTTTTTAGTGTACGTGTGGCTCTAAATCCACTATCCGTGATCAGGAATCRTAAAAACTTAAACAGGTAAACTTGCTACATGCATGCAAAGCAGGTCAGTTTTATCAGTCCACTGACTAGGGACGGGCAGCGATTTTTTCGAATATTTGAAGAAATTATTAAATGTGAAAACCATTTTACACAATCACTTATTTTCTAACAATGCTGATTTAGTCCATAGGCTTTTTTCCAACACTACACCTACTGCTCACTTCCCATCTATAGCTACTTTTTTTGCCGTCAAATGTAAGTAAAACCAGAAAATATAGATACAACCAGTCCTACATCAGATGTGTAATTAAAAGCAGCATCAACGAGTGATTTMGCTTTTAAAGGGCTTCCTCTTATTCTTCCCTGTGGGCTTTAAAAYGTGACGAGCAAACCTCACAAGATAGAAGATTAAAAAGGTTTAATTAGGAGTGAATAAATGCAACGCAGCAGTTCGGAGGGAAACCCCTCCCTTCATCACGTTTCGCACAGACAGAAAATGCTGTTCAAAAGCCCTTAACATTTCACAGCACCAAGAAGGTAACTAAGGTCTACTTTATATAGGCCAGACCATTTATTAAAACCGTAACTAGAAACCTAAACTGTTCAAAACTACCCCACACACCACAGATTTAAATCAGTACAACCAACCGCTTCTTTTAAAGCGTGTATCTGGTCAAACATATGGTTTTCTTTGACCTCAGACAGCTTAATGGGTCACTGAAGATCGTCTGTAAGACTACCGCTAGCAGAAGGACAGAAACAAACAACTTTCCTGGACTCATCTTTCCCAGCCCATGGGCTTTCATGCCAACAGCTGTAGGCAGCCAGATTCCTCCGTGTTTTGATTTAGGAGATGTGAAGCGTGAAAGAGAGCAAAATGTCCTGCCCTCCTGACCTGGGCAGCACCTGCTGAGCTTACACCGACCCAGACCGTGTTATTGACTTTATACAGAAACAGCAAGAGGTTGGGACATTTTGTGACGGTGAAATCTTCTTTGGCATTCRGTTTGTTATATTGTTGTGGGTTTGTATTCATGGAAGTATCCATTTCTCCACTAATTAAACATTCAAAATGACCACTATTTGAACTATGTTTAGTAAAAGCACAGTTTTGGCCTTTGCAAATGTTTATCTTCAGGACAAACGCTGCACTGCAGCTCACTTAATAGCACRCTCTAGAAAAATATAAAATCCTAACACACATCCTGAATTATGAATTTGCAAAGAGTTCAAGTCTATAAGGYGAATCTGAATTTTTATGATCAAAATCTCACATATTTAAAACATGTTTGATRTCATGACTGAAATTTTAAGACTATACCAAAATTATGATTAAATATAGTGACAGACTGATCTGCACCATTTCTATGTAAGAGCAGCTGTTACATCAGCCGTTTAAACATTTAGTTCATCCCCATGACTGCTGCTTTTATTAAACCACAACAACACATGACAACGACAACAGACACACTGGTATAAATCCACTTTGACTGCACCACTATTTATGGCTTTTGAGCACAAAGYGCTGGGCGAAATTAAGTGAATGTGAAGCAGAACATTAATTGGTTATGAAATTATATCTGTGACATTACTTTATCTTTTATAGCAAATGTAATGTTTGTGAATATGTGCCATGCTCTGCCTTTAATAGAAATGAGAAAACACTTTATGAAAAGAAACACAATAGCTCATTAGCACTTACAAATAAAGATTAATGCAGCTTATTGACCCCAGTTTGCCAAGCTGTGCCTTACAATAATGGACAAAAAGGCTTATTATTGCTTTCTTTATTTATCACCAGCCCTCGTTCATATCAAGAGCTGGTCAGTTACACTTCATGGGAAATCATTGTTTAAGGTTAAGCCTGTATTTCATAACATTTGCAAGGAAGTCTCCAAAATGTCTCTTTGCGTGAAGCAGAGGCTTGAACGTGTTTTTAAAATCTTGTGAGACAATTAATTTTTTTCCCAAAATAGTCACAAGGTCAGCTTGGATGTCTTAAACCCTTCTCAAAACTCATCTTAATTTTAAAAAAATGTATACAAAATGTATATTTAATCATTAAAAATAACTTGCCTAAAAATAGTTTGCCGATTGCTTGGTTGCAAGCAAATTTAGCAGGACTTTAATAAAAAATAGCATATTTTCTTACACTTATAAGACATTTTCCAACAGTTGTAGTAAAATGAGACCCTTATGAAGCTACAACTTGTCAAACATGCAGGTATGACTCTGCTGCAGTTCTAATCTGTAAAGAGTAAATACTGGCAGACCATCTCCACAAAAAAATGTTTGCAGATTTGCATGTGGGAAAAGGGAGATAAAGTTTCATGGTACTGGAAATATCCAAAATTACCACCCTGTGGTGGCACTTCAAATTGTTGACATCTAAATAACAGGAAAAATATTATCATTGATATTCGTTTGTTCCTCGTGCCATTAGGCTGTATAACTCGACCACTCCTGGCAGGAATAGGGGAATATATATAGCTGGTTTTGTCCTCCTGATTTTATTTTATTTTAATTAATTAATTTTTAAATCTGATGGGTCTTGTTTATATTTTTGTATGAATGAGAGCTATGGACCAACATGTAATTTCCCATTGGGATTATCTATCTATCTATC